TGAAAAAGTTTGATTTCAACATGACCATTACACACATTTAATGAAAAATTTTAAATTCTTATTTTGGTTAATGCACTTTCAGCCTTCCTTTATCTGAAACTGGTTAAATAATGTAAATTGAAAAAGCTTTCCATTTTATGTTCTTAATTTTTTCCGAAAAACTTTTTTTCTTTGTTCTTTATCACGAACTGTACATGCTGATCTGATCTGTAAAAAATCTAAATAAAACATTTGGTGTTTCCAGGAAGAGGCTCTACCTACCTTCCTCCAACAGTTCTTTAGGGGCAGGACAAAAACACAGGAGCTTCATTTCATTGGCTAAACTCCACCCATATGTAAATGTAGTGTTGCAGAAGGTTCAGCCTCCCTTCTAAACTCCACATATATGCTCCAGAGAGAGACACTGTAGAGCCACGATCCACTCTTTCTTTTTTCTTCCTAATGGAACACATGCTGATTTGCAGTCTGTAAGTATATTTTGAATTGAAAAATACACCTTTTGTGTTTTAGGAGCTGTTTGCAGTCATGTAGACAGCTCATTTTTGGACTGATGTTTAATTTTAAGTTCCATTTATTCATTAAATCTGATTTCTGTTTATAGATTTCTCTGAATTTGCTGCAGCCCTCTGGGAAAGAGTACAGACTTACAACGTAACAACTACAGTCGGAAGATGAATTGTACAAGGTAAGCTATACTGTCACTGAACTCCTTTTACTGCAGTGACGCTGTGCTATTGGTAATCACATTACCTGCCGTCAAAGCAGAATTATGCTAAAACAGAAATATGTGCAACCATGCCTTGTAACGATAGATCTTATTTTAACCCCATGATGTCTTCCTTCCCAGAGTTCTCCATGCCTTTGGTAGTCACCCCCAGCCAGCTGTGATGCCAGTCGACCTCGCCATGTGTCTGAGCCTGAGCCGACGCCAACCTCTTTATCAGCTGCTGTCCATGTCTCCCCTGAAACCCACACAGAGCCATTGTCAGACAACTGACTGTCAGCCAAGGACCAGCCTTCGCTCTCCCTATCACTCCAGCTTTTCCCCTTACCCTTCATCCTCACCGCAGCCCTCTGGGCCTCGGAGCTGTTTCCGCAGGGACAGTGGAGGTCTGAGCAAGAAGCGTGTGGTTTTTGCAGACGCTAAGGGATTGGCTCTCACTGCGGTGCGTCTCTTTATCCCTGAGCCTTCGTCTCCTGCTTCTACTCTAATGATGAAACCCTCCCCAGCCAAACTGCAAGGCCAACAGTCGACCTCAAACAAACAGCAGCCGTGCAGGTTGAGGCTTGGTTTCCCTCAGCCAATGCTTGACTTAAAAGCGTCCCTTGCACGCCTGCGAGAGATGCGTGTACAGCTGGAAAGCTGCAACATTTCAGAGCACTCCTTGAGCGGCAAAGTGCGCATCTCCCATGTCAGTACTGAAAAGGCTGTGCACATAAGGGTGACCTTTGACTCTTGGCGGAGCCATCATGACATTCCCTGCACATTCCTGCAGCAGCAGCGCTGTGGAGGTTCTGATATGGATGTTTTTGCCTTTGACTTAAGCTTGCCAAAGAACATAGATCCAAAGGAGAGAGTTGAGTTCTGTGTGTACTTCAGACCTGCACCGGGTGCAACGCCACACTGGGACGACAACAGGGGGCAGAATTACAGGGTGGTAATGGAAAAAGATGGATCAAATGCTAACCAAGGCGATGCCAACCGTTATTACCCCACACTGTCACAATATCGGCCAACATCCTGGCCTTCACATGTGTCTCTCGGTGTGCAGAACTTTGCTGAGCTTCAGTATCTTCAGAAGAGTTTATCAAGTAGAGTCAGGGCTGAATGCAAAACTCTGTGTTCAACTAAGTAAGACTAGTGAATGTAGGCCATAACTTCTCAACAGAGCTATGGGACTGTGTAAATAATGTGACTATTTTAATTATCTAATATTTATTGCTGCTTTTAGGGATGTATGGACTCTCTGAAACTACCCTGCTGAAATGTGAATAACACATACTGCATTGTTCTGATTAAATCCTTTTAAAAAAAAATAAATAAATAACTTTTGTTTCTCTTAGTTAAATCACTGGATACATGCACATTTACAAATGAAGCTTAGAGTTTACACTGCATTATAATGTGTATTTGTGCATTGTAGCATGACACATAAGCCCTGATTAAGAAACCTAGGTCCATGAGGAAATGTGGAAACATGAGACCTGTATTTGTCTGAGAGTAAACATGTATCAGTACACACAAGAGATTATTTTATTCCAAGAATCTTTTGATCTTAGAGACACTAACCTGTTTTCTCCAAACACAGTGAATGAACAAATGGATGACCTATGCTCATGATGTTCTTTCACACAGACATTATTTCTCTTGGCACAGGCTCAGATGTCTGTACCACCTTTTCATGTGGTACGTCATGCATACCAGACAGAAGAAGTCAACAGTGAAAGGTCTTCTGGGCACACATGGTTTTCAAGGGATAGCCTGTTCCAGACACTCCCCCACCTTCTGTGAAAAGTAGAACAACACGCTGGGAATTGTTACTTCTTGTACTGTACGTGATTGGTATGGCAAACAGCAAGTAACCATGGCAGCATCAGGGCCAGCATGTACTTTGGATAATGCGTGGGCCTGTGTATACACGCAAGGGTGGAGTCATCATTAGATACTGTGGCAGCCACAGTGAGACTGTCTCTGCCTCTTCTTCTCTTGTTCCACTCCTTCTTAGTCATTTTTCTGTTAGACTTCTTTCTTTATTTTTACCCAGGCTAGTGTCCTCCCAGTGATATAATCTTGTATGTGGCATGGGAGCAGTTTGCACAGGTGTAGCAGGTTTACACACCTTGTACCCAAAAGCATTTATTTATTCATGAGACTTAAGAGTGTTGGTAGGGTACCAGGTGTTAGATCGCCCCACTCTTAACATCCAATGAATGATAAGCGTAAACAGAACCATGGAACAAGACACATTATCACAGCTATGGTGCACTGATTTATGCCTTTTTCATCTACTATGAAGTTTCCAAAATGGTGATGTAGAAAAGGTATGTAGTTCAGGAGGAGCTGCAACTAAAGCTATATTCAGTGGTTTACCAAAGGAGCTAAAGTACAAAGCCGTTTGGCAGCAATACACAGAAACCAAACCAAGAGAAAGAGGACACCCACATGAGGAGAAGGAAGTGGGGCTAGATAGGACACATCCTACGAACGCCCAAAACCACAACCTGTGCAAAGTAAGAGAAAGGGTTTAAGTCAAATAAAAGACCTGTCAGTCAAAAAAATTTGGATAGTCAACATGTAAAAGGAGACCTGAGAACGAGTTACATAATACATCACAATAAGACAGTTGAGTCACACAAAGCAGTCATTACACAAATTAAAACAAGGGCTAATATTGTTAAGACTAGTAGTAATATGGACATCCTGATAGCCATTATTAAGGCACAAACAACATAACTGCATTTTACATGGTTTAATTCCTGCCAGGGACCAGTGTTGTAAATCATAGCCCTCTCTCTCTTTTTCTTTGTTTTGTGCCTAGTTTTATACCATTCTACCAAAAAAAAAATCAGTAGGTAAATAATCAACGTCCCTTAGAGGAATGAGTGCCTCTAACTTCAGTTTCCCATAGTGGTACAATAAGTGCAACCGCTTTCTTGGATATAAAATTCGTTGGCGCTGTAAATGAAAATTAAATTATTACGGTATTTCTTATTTGAAACGCCACTGACTGATGACTGTTAACAGGGGTGGAAGATTGGAAAACGCTCATATGGGTTGTTTAGCAACGCACTGACACACAAGCTTTTTTATTTGTTTGTGGAGGCTTGTTGGACTACTTGCATCTTATAATGTGCTACATAGTGATATTATACTAATCTTCCACTGTTGGCTTTAAAGTTATGTTCACCAATGTGGACATGGCTTCAGACTCCTGGTCAGGGAGGCAGAAGCAGGGGCACTAGCCATTTTACCAACTGAAAATAATTACAAAAATATGCACACAAGGTTAGATAAAGGCTTTTCAGTGGTCAGCATACATAAATTTTGTTCTTCGCATTTGTAATTTCTCCCATTTTATCTTTGAGCCAGCAGCAGCCACAGCTGGCTGATGGCAAGCAGCCAGCTACCAGCTGCTGGTGCTTACAGTGCTGATGCTTAGTGTTGTTTGAACAATAGCCTGAAGACTGATCCAGTGGGCTGCAGTCACAGCTGTGATCACAACGAGCGAGCTGCTGGGAGCTAACAGTGGTGGCTAGCTGAAGCCAAGACACTAGGCAGCGGTGACCGGATTTGTTTTATTCTGGTGCCAAATAGCTTCAAAACCAACCAAAATGTCACTTGCAACCATCTGGTGCCCCAAGAGCTGTGTGCAACAACTGAAAAGGGGAAGAAATTAGAGAAATAACTCTACAACAGCAATTGCAAAGGGACAGTTAGTTACCCAACACTGTGTTGTGGCTAGCTAATACTGTATTTGTACATTTGCCAGGCAAGAAGACAAGCCTAGTAAGTGTCAGAGGGGTTCCATCAAATTAGTTTTTAGATAATGGGTCTATATATTTTAAAGTAATGTGTTCGTTCAGATTTTTTTCTGATAGCAAATGAATTAAAACTGAACCACTTGCAATAATGTTTCAAAGTATTCAAATATGCATTCCAAAAGAGATAAAAATGCTTCTATACAGAGTATAGACGTGTATGTGCAAATAAATTATAATAACAATGATATATTATCTATTTATCAACAAACTAAGAAAACAAGCTGTTTATGAAATGACACCATGTTTGGTCCACATTCAGGAAATGTCAAAGGTGGGGATTAACAAAGTACTTCACTACTGACTGAGTTAGTAAAAAAATTAAAATACAAAAAAACATTTAAAACACTATAAAATACTCATCTTCATAGGCACTAAAACAAAACAGAAGTGAAATAAAAATCCAACAAACTTCTATTCTATTTCTATTTCTTTTATTTCAAATGCTATTCTATTATTTGATTAAGTGAAAGTATTACATATATGTATGTACATAGACACTCTAGATTACTTTTACAGATTAGAAAAGAAAAAGGTGCACCACAGTGCCCTCTACGGTAACTTGAGTAAGATCATACTCTTAAATAAATTAGTTAACGAGTTAAAATTGAGTGTGAGTTCAAATGAGAGATGCATATCTAATTGTGTTTATTGTCAGGTGAAGTACAAGAGTAATTCAGCACATGGAGGGTATGACGGTTGGTTATAGGTCACCAAAATCACAGTGTGTCACCATACACGACACTCTGGTGGCAAAGGGATACGGCCTTTGTAAGTATTTTTAATAATCCATGGATCCGAAGCAAATTGTTTCTGTCACTTGTGAAAACTACAAAAATAGATGTTTGAAACAGTTGTTGGGTCTCTACTGACATTGGTCGCTGGGCAGGTGCTCATGCTCAGGGTTCCAAGGTGATCTGGCAAAACACTCGGCGGCCTTCCTGTCACACTCACAGATGAACATCTCACATTCGTTGTTTGAGCCTGAAGAAGAGAAAGGGAAGAGCGCTCGGATTACCAAAAGACCAAAAACCATTGCTATATTTTAACCAAACAGTAGCAATTTTATTTGAACAGTGGCAGTTTTTCTCATCAATCAGAATTTACATATTGTTGAATGAATAGTCAGTAAATAACATTTTAAATAACTGCATATAACTGCAGGTTTTATGAGCAAATTAACATGTTTATAAGATCAAGTTGTCTCTGTGTACTCACTGCCACATGTGACCTTCTTGTTGTTCTTGTCGCAGTTGTAGTCATAGAACTCGGTGTAAGGATTGTCAAAGATGGGCCAGCACTCAGGGTGTTGCATAGCATCATTATAGCACTGGTCATGGACGTAGCAGCAACTACAGGTTAAAAAGTCAAACAAGACCATTTTTAAAACAGGCTGGACAAGGTAGGGTTTTTTTTTTTTTGTTACGTAATCTGAGTATGAAGCAGAGTGAATGGATTGCGACCTGTCCAGTTCATCCACAGGTGTGCCGGAGCCTCCTTTCCCACAGTAGCAGCCGTAGTCAGCGTAGTCTAAAACTGGCCAGCTATCAGGCTTCAGACACAGGATCATTTTTCTAAACTGGTGGAGTGCCTTGTAGTCCAAGGACTGGGCTGAAAAGCAACAACACAATCAGGATTATGTTTATGCTACTGCCAGCAGATGCATCTATTCACAACCACCATGAGTACAGGCTTTACTCAAGTTGTACTCACCAACAGAGATGCATGCAGCCAAAAGACACAGAGCCTGGAGGGTATTCATCCTGTAAGTCAAAAGACAAGTCACAGAGGAGCACTCAGTCTAACATCAGGCCCTCTTTATATATCAAGTGTGGGACCTTGGGACCTGCCGTCAGCTGTTCATGCTAAACAGGGTCACACGCCTCATAATGCACACTCTCTGTACACGTTTCTGAACTGTGAGAATGGTTAAGTTTGTTTGATGTTCTGTATAGACTCGAGTTGCTCAGCCTTGGGTTACGGATGCACGTTTGTGAAGCTGTCAAAGCAGCACATTATCGCAGGTGGTTTGAGATGTTCTATAATCTTACAATAGGTGTAATGTTTACACGCCCATGTATTTTATTTTACTACAGTTACTGGTAAATGACAAACTTTTGGAACATGTAACCCACGGTTGTCAATCCCTGTGTATGTTAATGTAGATCTGAATACGAATGCAGAATAAATGTTTTTCCAAAAAGATATTTTCTGTAATTACAATAACTAATGTAGCAGATCAAGTAGCCTTGGTTGAGTGATTTTCTTGTCTTTTGAAAACATAGATTTTGTGCAATGGGTAATTTCACACCTGACAGCCGTAATTGCTTTGGTCATGGCATATAAATGTGTGCAACGGTCGGAAGAGAAACCCTGGTCAGTGTGTGACGTCATCATATCAATTCATGTCTTATTTTCCTTGTCATAAGTACTGCAATATAATGTATAATGGGGAAAATGATCATCATCAGACAGCAATTTACAAAATACAGTTTTTTAATAGTTGTAATGCTGCTTTTATAGAATCTGAAAATGTGTATAGTTACTGTTCCTGTAAGGTTACACTCAGTGTTATTTCAAATCAACTTTCTGTAATAATTATGCAACACTTTCTTGTCAAATAAAGAGAACACATGACCAAGCAAGACATGTCCCACCATATGTACAGAGACATGGAAAATCCCAGACTGTAAGTGCAATGTTGATGATATAAGGAGCACTCACATGCTGGGAGCAAAGTGTTCAAAGGCAGACGTAATGTACAGTAGCTGTGCAAGAGAATGTGTCAGCTTTTCCAGCACTTATGT